CCCCCCCCAAGAAAGGGGTCGTCACAGGGGCGGGCGTGGAAGACGCGCAGCCGTTGCCAGCCTCCCGGTGGGGCCTGGAAGGGGCACTGGTCTCCAGGCGACGGGGACGGGAGCCCCTGGGGGAGGGCCTGGCACCGCCAGAGGGTGGGCTCTGTGGCATGGCAATACCCCAGCGGAGGTCCCCCCCCCTCCAAACCCTGCCCCTCAGGCGCCACCCCCAAATCTCCAGGAATTTCCTAACACAACCTCAGTGGCAGGGGACACCCACACCCACACACACCCCAGCCACAGGTTTGGCATTTAAAGCACCCAAGCCAAGCAGAAAGCCCATCTCCTGTGGGCAGGGGCAGTTTAAGGCTCCCTGGTGCCCTCAGCACTGACCCATCTCCGTGCCCCCCCCTCCTTCCCACACTGACCCCCCAGTCCATTTCCATGGTTGGCCTGTCTGACCAGGTTGCAGCAATTCAGAAATGTATTCATAGGATAACACAATAGACTGTACAGACTAAGCTTCTCACCCTTTCCCCAACTTTGTGGTGCCCCCTTTGGCCCTGGCGCCCTAAGCATGTGCCTAGTCTGCTTGGTGTCGTGGTTAAGTGCACGGACTCTAATCTGGGAGAACCGGGTTTGAGCCCCCACTCCTCCACTTGCACCTGCTGATGTGACCTTGGGCAAGCCACAAGGTCTGGCTGGCACAGCTGTCCTTGAAAAAGAGCAGTTTCCGTCAGAGCTCTCTCAGCCCCACCTCCCTCACAGGGTGTCTGTGGTGGGGAGGGGAAGGGAAGGGAAAGGAGTTTGTAAGCCCCTCTGAGACACCTTCGGGTAGTGAAGGGCGGGGTATAAATCCAATCTCTTCTTCTCTCTTCTTCTTCAGTTTGGTGTAGTGGACTCTAATCTGGGAGAACCGGGTTTGATTCCCCACTCCTCCACTTGCACCTGCTGGATGACCTTGGGCAAACCATAGTTCTGGCACAGCTGTTCTCGAAAAAGGGCAGTTTCTGTCAGAGCTCTCTCGGCCCCACCTACCTCACAGGGTGTGTGTTGTGGGGAGGGGAAGGGAAAGGAGTTTGTGAGCCACTCTGAGACTTTGAGTGCAGGGCGGGGCATAAATCCAATCTCCTCCTCCTCCTCCTTCTTCTTGAATCCGCCCCTGCCTGTGAGATTGTTGGATGGGGAAGAATCGCCCCTGACTCCCCAACCTCCCCCCCCCTCCCGGCTTTCTGGCCAGGGCGAGCACCGCCTCCCTCCCTCCTGCACTCTGCCTGTGCTGCTCTCCTTGCCCTGGCATGGGTGGTGGTAAACAGCAGGGCGGTGGCATCGCCCGGTTGCCCTCCAAAGCCATATTCCTCGTTGCCCTGCCTGGGTGGGTGCAGGGGTGGCAGGCTGCTCCCCAGTGTGCCAGTTTTAGTTTAGCTTCCCACCTCCACTACTTGGCCCGTCGTTGTTCAGAATGTAAGCTTTGCCTTCTGGAGGGCATCCCTCCCAAGTGCGTTCAGTAGGGGCAGTGATGGCTCAACCGGGCGGGGGGGGCACATTTTCTCCCTTTCTCACAAGACAAGAACTCCTTGTGGGCACTCCATGAAATTGCTGAGCGGTCGGGTTAGAACGGGTAAAAGGAAGTCCTTCTTCACCCAAAGAGTGATTAACACTTGGAATTCACTGCCACAGGAAGTGGTGGCGGCTACAAGCATGGAGGGCTTCAAAAGGGAATTAGATAAGCATATGAAGCAGAGGTCCATCAGTGGCTATTAGCCACAAGGTATAGATAGGGGCTCTGGGGCAAGTGATGCTCTGTCTTCTTGGTACTTGGGGGGGAAGCAACAGTGGGGGGGGGGCTTCTAGTGTCCTGGCCCCACTGGTGGACCTCCTGATGGCACTGGTATTTCTGGCCACTGTGTGACACGGAGTGTTGGACTGGATGGGCCATTGGCCTGATCCAGCATTGGCTTCTCTCTTATGTTCTTAAAATGCCTGCTGCTCACGATTGTGGTGACTTTCCAGAGTGTTCCTTCTTCCCGACACCCCCCTCCCCTTTATTGGCCTGCATATCCTGCTAGGCATTCTTGTGGCAATCCGGGAAGGATTTTGAATCAGTTGATTATATACTGTGAAGTTCCTACCACGGCATCATTTTTTTAGTGGAGAGAAGCTTCTCTTGAGTGCATTGGTGAGCAACATAAAAATGCGAGTGTGGGAGATCTCTTGGCCAGTCCTGTTGCCAGGGGAGGGGAGGGCCAGGCGTGCACCCACTGATACCAGCAAGAGCCAAATACATCAGGGCCGCTGCCTTGGATTTTCAGCAACTCTGCACCAACAGCGATGTTCCCTGGCAGCCATGAGGGGCAGTGCCAAGAAAGAAACCGGGATTTCTGCGCTTGGACATCCTGACAAGCCAGTTAGTTGTGTGCCGGCGTTGGTTTAGAATCCAGGTTTATAGCTTGACCTACAAACCAGAGTTAGTTGGGGGCCAGCATTTGCGTGTCATGACAAACCGGATTCTAAGCAGAGATGTCTGAAGGCCGCCCCTGCGCTCTGCTTACTGTTGTTGGCGTAAGTGTGACATCTGGTGGAGAAAGAGGCAGCTGCTCTCAGTTCATCCACATTTTAATACTGTTGTCAGGCTGGCGATAAGACCATGGAGCAGGGTTCCCTCTAAGCTGAGTTAGCTCAGTTTTTTTTAGCCTCCGGCTCACCCATTTTTTGTCTTTTTTCAGGAAGGAGGGCTCCAGAGCAAACTCATTCATGCAGGAGCCAAATGGCTCGCTCACAACTTTAATGCCAGGAGCCCACAAAGTACAATTTTTGCTCACAAGACTCCACAGCGTAGGGGGAGCATTGCCATCGAGTAGACCCATCTGGCAGCTCTGGTGGGGCGGGTGATGCCTTTTTGGTCCAGCTGCCTCTTCCTAGGGGCTGATGCCTCCTGCCTGTGTAACAACCCTTTGGGGACATGGGACCTGGAATTGGAAGGGATTACTTACGGCAAACTTCTCTGCATTGACTCTCTGGGCTTTCTCGGGCAGAATATGCTTCCTGTCGTTGTCCCCCCCCCCACCTAGGCGGCAGCTTCAGGATCAGCACTGTGCGTCACCCCAAATTCTTCATTTTCTGATTCGTCTGCTAGCCCCTGTGGTGAAGCAGCACCAAGTCAGCATTGGACACACATGTGAATGGTATTTGGGTTTCACTTCTGAAACGTGGTGGAGTTAGCTTCCCAGACGGGTCAAGCTGGGGCAACTTCCGGGACACTCC